TCGACTGTTTGGAAAGAAGTCTCACAAGGAGACTTCGACTGTGTTAGGAAAGAAGTCTCACAAGGAGACTTCGACTGTTAGGAAAGAAGTCTCACAAGGAGACTTCGACTGTGTTAGGAAAGAAGTCTCACAAGGAGATTTCGACTGTGTAGTATATGAAAGAAAAATAGACTTTGCTTAGGGCTTTGCTGGGAAACCAATTTGGCTAAATAAAGGTACTTAAAAGGGAAAATAAGAAATAGTGATTCTCTCTCTCTCTCTCTCCTCTATGCAACCACGTGGTATGTTTAAAATGTGTGCCTTCCCTAACTTGAGTTGTCTGAAATTTATGGTGGGAATGACTAGGATGTGTAAAACTAAGACTTCTGTTTGCTTGTCTTTGTGTATATATGTTTGTCAAAGTCTGTGTGAGAGGTAAATGTGACTGTTAACTGTTTCAAATCCAAAGAAAAAAGAATTTTAAATTCTGCTAGAAATTATGCTTAAAAATAAGCCACAAAAAGGAAATACCTCACTCTGTTTGTCTGGCCAACAAACAGAGTGAAGAAAAAGAATTGTGTTTGTTTGTTTGTTTGTTTTCCTTTTTCTCTGTGTGTACGCTCAAGAACAGCCTTAAGTTACCAGAAAGGATTGCTTTAAGTTTATCTGTTGGAAAAGTTTCACTTGCATTTACTGTGTGTGTTTTATCTATCTTTTTCCTGAAAAATGTGTGTCTATCTACAAGAGCCTTTTGAAACTCAAGTCTGCTTGTGTGGGGAAACAATTTTCCTAAGTTACTTTTCATATCCTATCACTTATTGTTGAAACTACTATGAAGCTTTCTGAAACATAAGCATTTTCCAATCTCTAAAATAATGTTATCTATTTTAGAATAAATGTTAAAGGCAGATTCTCCTGCCCTTGGCAAGTTGCACGTCTTAAAATATTAGGCTTTTAAAATTATTTGGAGTTTTCAGCATTTTCAAACTGCCTGCAAGCTACCCCCCTTCCAATTCTTTTCTTGACCTTTGTTCTCCATACCTTTTGTCTGCCTCTCCTGGTAGAGTCCACCCAGAAAGGGCGGGGGAGACCTTGTTCTTGTATCTTTCAGCCCTGAAACCTTCTCCCAAGCCTTTGGAAGCAGAACACACAGACCCAGATGCTGCCTCCATCCATTTGAGCCATGGAATTGAGTTTTGAATCCAGCCATCCACTAAAAAGCCACCATGCAATCTAAGTGGGGAACATCTTCCCAAGTCCTACCATTTACCCAGATGCCTGTGAGAGCTGCAGCAGGAAGGTGGTGCCATGTGAAGCCTCAGAAGAGAAAATTAGACTATGGGGGGAGGGTGGAAACTCATTGTAAACTTTTATTTCTTGCCCCATTTGTATTGTAACAAGCCAGTTGAATGTATTAGCGGAGAGATGGCACTTGGGAATATGTGGCAGAACAAGTACTGAACACCTTGGACTTCTATCTGGTGGGAGGGAAAATTTATCCAGAATGTTTGTGTTGACTATTTTGTAAAAGTAGCTGCATATACATGCACACACACCATTCAGAATCACACTTGAGTCTATCCCCTCCACCTACCTTTAGTGAAGTTCCCCAGGCTGATTTTTGCTCTGTTGCACCAAAGCTTTGAGGGATCAACTTCCAACAGATAACAAGGGGGAGGGAACTAGGCCCCCTCAGGTGATTTGCAATTCATATGCCCTGGCTAAGGAAGCAATAGGAAATCCCAAACTTATGCCCTGAATATTTTGCACTGTTGAGCTCAGATTGGGATTCCTAGAACTCATTATGTGCAATTTAAAGAAAATTTAATAGCCTGGCAGTTGGGCATTACAAACCTGGATGCACTGAATTAAGAGCTAAGGCAGGAAACAACCCTTGAAACTGGGCAGCCAGTGGTCATGTACTAAGGAGAACCATGGCTGTGAAGAATTTTGGGGGGTATGCAAACCTGACTGGAAGCTAAAGGTGACATCCAACATTTAAGAGAACTAGCACAAAACATTGGGCACAACCAGTCATCCTGGAACCTTTCCTGGCTCTTTTCATGGTTACCAGACTTCCATTAGTTGAAAATTCTTATTGGTAGTATAATCACAGTCATAATAGGTGGAGCCCTCCTTTGTTGCCTATGCCAATTAATTCCCTTAGGGTTAAAATGCCTAAAGATCTGCACAACTCCCATCAGGAGCAAGGGACAAAGCAAGAAAACATCTCTCATGATGTGCCAAATTGATCACCACTACCGTATATATGAACCAGTTGGGCTAATCACTGATACATCAGTAATAGCCCAAAATGGGGGAATTGATGAGAGTTGGACACCCCCTCCCCAGCCCAACTAAGAAATAATCTAGGAACACCCCAACTAAACTGGGTCAACAGCAGCCTGAGGCTAAAACAGCAAACACTTGACACACACAATGAGGAACCAGCTAGCAGCAATCAGGATTAACACACAACAATAAAAGTAATTAACACCTTTTAGGCAAGAAAAAGGAACTAACAATAGTCACAAACCAGCAAATCAAGAAAGACAAATTTTAACTCACCAATTAGAAATGGTAAGTTTGTTACCAATCAGAAATGACAAGTTTGGAAACCACAAAAGGGTATAAAAACCCCTGTTTAAAGATCATTCTGTCTAGCTAGCCGGGGACTCGAGCTGAATTGTCACTCAACGCTGATCCTCGAAATAAAACCTCTTTCTGGTAGCTGGCTTCACAATCTATTTCTTCTGCGCTGCACCGTCAAGGGGAATCCCAGCTGGAAGGACCGAACGGGGGAGTTCCTCCCAACAGTACTATGGCTATCTATCACTATCTACCTATGCATGGAACCTGCATTGTATGGAGAACTGAAGATTATATGGAGGTGCTTTAGGTCAAGTCTAATTAAGACTCCAGGAAGTTCAAGAATATATCTGCACTGCTTGAAAGCAAATAGGTGGGATTTTGATGAGTGCATCTCTGTAGAGGGGGTAAGGAGTGCATCTGGTTCCTTTTGTCATGCAAAGCATATGCAATACTGCTGACCTATATGTCTTCCCTAAGGAAGATGGCTGCTATTCTGAACCAATGATTTAATTTTATTGGCATGCTTATTTTTAAAGGAATGAAATCTTCTTCCAGGTCTTAGCTGGCTTATATTTGATTGCAACAATATGTTTTGTTCATATTCATTACCTTCATTGCTAAATTTATTCGGGAATTACAGAACAATGACACGTTCCTATTCTGAAGAAATATCCTTTTTTTCCCCTGCAAGAACAATTTATTCCCTCTGCTATCTCAGGTTCCTTTTTTAAACAAAATACTAAAAGTTTTAATTACAATAGTAAAAGATAATACAAACCAAAAAGAAAGAGAAAAAGAAAGAAAAACCCTAAGAAAGCAACTTCACGCCCTCATCTTGACAGGTCTAAACAATTTCCCAATCTCTTCCCCTCCTCTTAATTAACAGATACAATGCTCTTCCCAATACTCATCTCTTAACTATAGGCAAATCCAATAAGTAACATTCTCTCCATGTCCAAGTATCAGCAAAAAAATCCAAGCAAAGTCTAAAAATATTAATTAACACATATAAAATGTACCACTCCACATCTCAACTCTTAACAGTAAGCAAATCCACATTTAGGAGGCATAAAATGGTCCCACTATCCTATTATAAAGAAAAGACTGAAATTTAACATGACAAAGAGGAATAATTTCTCCTTCAAAGAGAACAAGCTCACAAAAATTCCTCGCTTTAAGTGAAAGGACGTTTAGAGACAAAGCCAATTTAAATACTGTCATATTAGCATATATAAAAGTATAGTAACTGTACTTAAAAAGGCTTAAAAATCTTGTTAACTGTAAGCTTGCTGTTTTAGTTTCTGAGACAGCTTGTCTCCCACCTTCACTGCCAATTTATTTCATAGTATATCTTTGATTTCTAATGGTTCATTTCGCTGGGATTGTTTTAGATCTCTCTTCTAAAAGAGAGATTACAGCAAGTTGCTCTGAAAAGTTATGTGGAGTTTCCATTTGAATTTCTGCCAGCAACAAAAGCATACCCCTCCTCCCATTTTCTAAATGAATAAAAAATCAATGCACATATATTAAGGGCTTAATTAGCATATGTGTATTTTAAGACTGTAGGTTTTACTATAAAGAACAATATACCAAGGATAAAGATTAATATACTATCTTGGCCGATTCATTTAGAAAACTATTAAAATGTGATAAATGATCTTTGTACAAAATGTTACACTGAACATTCTTAAATTTGGGAAGGAAAAGTGAAGGTTCTTATTTTGTTTTAAAGTCTATGGTACATTCAGTTGCTGTGTGGTGGCTTATTCAGTAGTTTAGAGTTCAAGAAAATGATTGTTTTCTCTACATGGGTCTTCTATGTATGCGTATTATGTCTACATCTATATTAGGAGGAAATGGTGTGAAATGCGATCAAACATAAAGAGTGGGAATTAGGAATTAGAAAAGGCACAATGAGTCAGAATACCAGATACAGGGTTGCTGAAGCAGACCTAGTAGGTGACGGTTAAGAAATGATTACTGTAATTTAAGTTCACAATAGATTTGGAGATTGTAGTGGTGATAATGCTTTCTGTTTTTACTTGGAAATGACTGTATCATATGGAAGTAGATATCCTGATTTTCCCCCATTTTTTATGAAGCAAATAGATGGCAAGACTGAAAACCAGAATGAATTTTCTGATTTCATAGTTGCGACATGCTATACCGGTACTCAATTAGAAAATGTGAGGAATAGTAACAAAAATGTGCATCAAGGCAGAAAATAGCTAGGATGGCTTTCCCCAATTTTCCAAGTAGGTCACATTCACTTGCATAGAGGCCATGCTGATTGAAAAGTTATGGAAATGGAGGTACAACAGATCTAGTGAGTACCACATTGGGGGAGACTTAGTTAAGATATCAAGAAATATATATTGTTTGCTGAAATCTTGCTTATCCTCTTCACTGATTCTCTCTGTCTTTCCTAGGAGCCTGGCTCTGCCTTTTTACAGTTGGGTGTCTCTATTGAACAACAGATACAAGTGATCTTCAAAGTCTTGGAGGAATATGACTGGAGCTCCTTCGCTGTTATCACCAGCCTCTATCCGGGATATAGTATCTTCCTGGATGTAATTCGGTCCTTCACTGACACCAGCTACTTTGGTTGGGAGATCCAGGATGTCTTGACCTTTGAGATGTCCCAGGATGCAAGCACCTCCAAACTGCAGAAGTTGCTGCGCCAAATAGATGCTCAAGTAATGATTGTCTATTGTTCACAAGAGGAGGCAGAGTTCCTCTTCCACGTGGTAGAGCAGGCTGGTTTGATCGGCCCCGGCTATGTCTGGATTGTGCCTAGTCTAACAGTGGGGAACATGGATGTGCCACCTACGTCTTTCCCTGTTGGCCTCGTCAGTGTGGCCACTGAAAGCTGGAAAATGAGCCTGAGGCAAAAGGTCCGGGATGGAGTGGCTATCCTTGCTATAGGAGCTGAGAGCTATTTCAAGACCCACGGCTATCTCCCCACTGTGGGCAGAGACTGCAATAGCAAACCCCCTTCTAGTGCGCCAACAAATACTTTTTATAGGTCAGTACAGGTAACATTGACGTGGTTTAAGCCGGCTCTTGTTTTAGAAATCAGAATTTGACAACAATGTTTCATCATGCAATTATGGGTATTTTGAGTTATGTGAGAGGCAGTTTAGCAGCAGCAGGATTCTTAGATTTGTATAATTTAATAACTGTAGCTTTAAAAATTAACACACGTCTCTCAGCAGAATTTCTTATACCCAGATATGTGCATGTTCTGTAATAAGAATTCTTCAGACTGAATATATGTATAGTCAGAATTTCTGAAATGGTGAAAAGGCAGGTTTATTAAATGGAAGAGTGAAGACAGTGAAGAAGAGTGCAGCCATAGCAAAAGAAGCCTAATGGTTTTAGGACCAAATCGGAGAAGTTATACGCATTGTGCACATCAATCTCAAGAGCCTAAGAACAAATTCTTGTTTCTGAATCCTGATTTAAAATAGATAAGCTCCGAATGAGTTCAAGCTTTATAACTATTGATTTAAAAAAAGTTTTCAAGAATGCCTCAAATTTTATCATTTCTAGAATATAAATAGAGACTTTCGGAATGAGTGACATTCTCAATCATGCCGCTGATGAAATGAGTTGTTAAAGTGTATCTGCCATGATAACTTTTTAATCTTAAAAGATGACCCAAGTCTGTTATTTCTGAAATTCAGAGCACTTGGTTTTGTAGGAACTAGGACACATTTGACATCAGACCACTAAGCTAGTATAAGAGGATCCTGGTTCCTTTCTCTTCCCTTTCAAATAAGAGGAATTATAATTACATGTAGTCCTTGACTTACAACAGTTCGTTTAGTGCCGGTTCAAAGTTACAACAGCACTGAAAAAAATGACTTATGACCACTGTTTGACAACTGTTTCATGTTTATGATGGTTGCAGTGTCCTGAGATCATGTGTGACCTTCTGACAAGCAAAGTCAATGGGGAAGCCAGATTAACTTAACAATTGTATTACTAACTTAGCAACTGCATTCATTCACTTAACAACTGTGCCAAGAAAGGTCGTAAAATGGGACAAAATTTAGTAAAACCATTCCGCTTATCAACAGAAATTTTGGCTTCAAATGTGGTTGTAAATTGAGGACTATCTGTACTACCAAGGGAGTGAAGGAAGAGAGGAATACTAGGATGAAGTATGTGTCACTGCCATCCCACCCAACACTGCTCTCTTCTTGAGATCAGTCACTCCAGGAAACTTCATCTCCAAGAAGTGGTGACAGTAAGAGAGCAGCCCAGCAAACTCCTGAAGCTATGTTATGCTACAACTGATGCACCTCTGTTGAAAAGGTGAACTCAGAATGTAATTAACAGAATAACAGAGTTGAAAGGGACCTTTAAGATTTTCTAGTCTAGTCCCACCCCCTGCTCAGGCAGGAAACCCTATAACATTTCAGATAAATGGTTGTCCAATCTCTTCTTAAAAATTTCCAATGTTGGAGCATTCACAACTTCTAGAGGCAGGTTGTTCCACTGGTTAATTGTTCTAACTGTCAGGAAATTTTTCCTTAGTTCTAGGTTGCTTCTTTCCTTGATTCTCTCCATTGCTTCAGGTGCTTTGGAAAATAGGTTGACCCCCCCCCTCTTCTTTGTGGCAACCTCTGAGATATTGGAACATGCTATCACCTCTAATCCTTCTTTTCATTAAACTAGACATACTCAATTTCAGCAACTGTTCATATGTTTTAGCCTCCAATCCCCTAATAATTGTTGCTGCTCTTCTCTGCACTCTTTATAGAGTTCAACATCTTTTTCACATGTGGTAATGAAAGCTGGATGCAGTATTCCAACTGCTGTCTTATCAATGCATTATACAGTGATATTAACACTTCATGTGACATCGGTTCTAATTGCAGCATTCTTGAGTCTATTTTACTTTAATGTTATCTTCATTTTAAAATTTGTTCATCATCTAAAATTAAGAGCTGCATTGAAAAAAAACAGGTCTTTCTTAAGTACGCTTAAAATGTACACCACAAAAAAACAATGTCATCTGTAGCAATTAGAAACTCTGGGAGAGGCCCAGTGAGAATAAGCTGATCAATATTTGCAGCTGGTACTGGGCAGTGCCACCAATCACAACCCACATGGGGATTGTGCCCCTTTTTACATAGGGCAACAAATGGATGGCAGTGCCACTGAGAACTGGTGCCAGGGCAGTGGATGCTACTGGGTTGGCATTCTCCCTTGCTCGTGGTAATTGCTGGGTGGCTTTTCCAGCCCAATTCATTTTGGAGGCCTATGGGGCTAAATGTGGAGAAACTCCCTCTCTGTGTCTTGCCTTGGAAATGAAAAGATCAGCATACAGCTTTAACGAATAAATGCCTTCTCCATAGCCAGACTTGCAAAACGTTACATTAAAACACTTTCTCCCATTCTGCATTTGACATTGAAGACCTCAGAGTTCTTAGCTGGCAGCAAGGATGGGCCTTGGTATAAAGCGCCTGTTTGCCGTCTTACTTGTACAAGATAAAGCCAGGATGTAAGGCCAAATTTGAGAGCATGTGGTTTAAAAAAAAAAAAAAGAATGGGTTATACCAAAACATAAGATTGATGGCTTTCCTTATTCTCAATAGGCACTTACTCAACGTGACATGGGAAAAAAAGGATCTCTCCTTCAACAAAGGTGGTTACTTGGTGAAGCCCACCATGGTGGTGATTTCGCTGAACCGGCATCGACTCTGGGAAATGGTAAGGTCCTTCCTCTGTCCCTCCCTCTCTTCCTGCCCAACATCTTGTCTTAAGTGCATAGCCTCTTAGAACTACAGTTTCCTTGTTCTACAAATGGGTTTGTCTATAATTCACCCCCCCCCATTTTAAGCTTAATTGCAACATTCACTAATACCTATTAGGGCTATGAAGGCTTTGACAATGATTGAAAGAACTGCTTTGGATCTAATGCACACCTAATTGTGATACATAAGCAGATGAAGCCAATCTGGCTTCATATCATTTGTCTACTTTTATTTTCCAGTTGAATTTACTTGTGACTGGAAACAGTGGAGGATAGCTACATACCTGGGAATTCTTTAGATTAAGATACTGGCAGCCCTCCCTCAGATACAGAGAGACCATGTCTATCTGAATTCCCAACCAGCAAGACCACAAAATTAACATTTTTGAATATGCCAAATGGGAAAGACTGACTCAAAAATCTCTTAGATCTTATTTAAAAACCCATATCTATTATGGATATTAGGGTTATGCACAATGATTCGGAAGAACTGCTCTATTCCTGGGTCGAACAGAGGCAACTCTCTGGAATTCATTACAACAGCCCTATTTCCTTCTGGCTTTTGCAACAGAAGGCTGGCAAGTCTGAGAATTCTGTGCAAGAATTGGCAATTGACAGTCCCCAAGAATCACCTCCTATTGTCCTTCTTACTTGCGCAGTGCAGTCTTTTTTTTACCCTGCCATTAAAATAAATAATTTCATTTGATAAACAAATTGAAGCACCATGAAATGAATTTTTAGATTCATTTATTTTGTATGTTCACAACTAATTTGTTTAATTTGCAATGGAGGTTTGATGCATCACATGCCACAAGGCACATAACTCAGTTGGATGAATGCTCGTTGTGCAAGATGACTTTGTTGCTTTTTTTCCAGTCATTAAAAATTGAATTAAAAAAAATAAAACTCGGCAAATATTGTGAAAGGAAATTGGCTTAAACTGCTTATGTACTAGAGATTAGGTACGTGTAGGCATATTAGAAAGCTTGCCAATAAATTACTGTCTTCCCAAAAAAAAAGGATAAATTTTCATTAAGAGTCAACCATATCATCATTAATATAAGTGTCAATCCAAAAGATAAAGGACCAGAGCTTTCCAAATTGCCCTTTTTTCTGGGAAGTATGATTAGTGCTCTTCAGACGAAAAAGAATTCAATGAGAGAAAATTGTTTAGATTTTTGGCTTCAAAGCTTTGCATTTAATTTACATTTTTATATCACATATCATATCCATGTTTGATGTAGCCTATGCTTCACAAGAGTTGGTCGTACCATTAAGCTAAATGAGGAAGCCACATAGGTCATTGGTATTCATTTATCCTGAAGGGACAACAGTAATTGAATTAAGTTCTATCTCAAGCAGCAAAGAATCTTTACTTATGTTTACTTTTTGAATAACCTTTCATGTGCCAAAGACTCCACGTTATGTTATAGGAGTAATATGCAATTGCCCCTTTATTTTCTTCCTCACAAATCAGCCCAAATGATCACATTTTAAAACAAGGTCACCTTAAGCAAAAGAGGGACTATAGTTATATGAAATAATGTGATGCTTTGTTTGCTGCTCCATCTCAAATAATAATATGTCCTGAGCCCACATTAATTTCTGCCATTCCAAGATCATTTCATTTATTCTGACCAGGTTTTTAATGTCGAGGAATGTTCCATATCTGTTAGCTCTGGAGCTCTAATCCCATTTACCTAGAATGTTCCAGAAAACTGGAGGAATATTAGAATGATTCTAGCTAGCTGGGCATTTAGATTACACCATCAATTTTGTTAGAATCTATTCCTGCAATTACATATTTCTCTTAATGAGAGAATATTGATGAGGTTATCCTCCTGCTCTCCATATGCACAAATGAACATCTAAGCATCTGCAGTGTAATTTTCTATATTGCAACTGGCAAAAAAAAAAAAAAAAAAAGGAAAACAAGTTGTCTAAGTATTTCTCCAATTTTCCCTCTTTGCAGATTATCTAAATATATCTGATTGGGTTTTATGTTATCTTTGGATAATTACAAAAATAATCTGAAAGAGATGAACACTATTAGTAGAAAGATACTGGTGTTAATTAAATGAGCTGTTTGTATAATTGCTTTCCATTATCACATTTCCTTTATGATATGACTTTCTCTGTTCAAGTATTTTCCATATGACATGGTAATTTATTACTGAGTTTTCAATAATTCTGTTAGGAATAAAGAATACAATTCTATTCAAACATGTAAAATTTGTCTGCATTTGCAACTTTAGGATAAACTGCTCTTTTAGCTGCTTTCAATACTCCATGAATGAACGGCTTAGGAGACATCCCGGATCATAAACAAAAAATCCCCCTGCTCCAATTCTCCACTTTATATTAACTTTTCTTCTTTTATATCATAACAGTCTATTGAGTTGCACTTACAATACGAGTATAACCAAATTTGAAAGGAATTGTTTAGAGGTCTCATATCTGAAATTTGTAAATTTCAGAACCGTTATAAATAAATAGAATTTGGCTTGAAACATAATGGGAACTTAATTTAAATAGAAGAAATGTTTTAAGAATTTCAAGCTTTGGGAACGGACGTCTGGAAGAGTAATATGTTTTGAGAGCTGTGCTTCAAAGGCCCTTGCTGTTGTATGCAGAATGTACATTAACTAAGGAAAAGGCCATATTTCCATCATGCTGCTTTCTTCAGAGAGAAATCATCTACATGTACTTTAAAGTCGTGTAGCCATTCAAAGAAGGCCTTTTGATTTTTGCAATGTTTTAGTGATGTGTTAAATGTCCATTTTTCTTTTGTTCTCAGTTGAGTTAAAAAAACAAATTAGAAAAGGAGACATAATACTCAATCTATATTTAAACTAAGATTTGTGAGTCTGGTAATCATAAACGAAATGTTCCTAAATGCTTCTTGTTTTCTTGGGCCACGATAATGCAACCAGTTATATATATACATATATTAGCAAGAAATTAGCAAAACTTTTAAGAATGTTAAGAATGTTTTAAAAGCTTGAAAACATCCTACCTTCATTTCTGGTATTTCACAAAATCTAACAAGGCCATATTATAGTGTCCTTTATGTTTTTACAATTTTGATCTAGCCATACAAAGACTTGGTCCTTCCTTCCTTCCTTCCTTCCTTCCTTCCTTCCTTCCTTCCTTCCTTCCTTCCTTCCTTCCTTCCTTCCTTCCTTCCTTCCTTCTTTCCTCCCTCCCTCCCTCCCTCCCTCCCTCCCTTCTTCCTTCCTTCTCCACATTCCACTATGGGTTTCAAATAGGATTCATGAGAGGGATGACTATCCTAGCATATTGATAAATTGATTTTTCCCCCTTGCTTTCCATGCATAAGTAGAATGATTATTTAACCTATGCCTTGATAATATCTTTTCTTGAACAAATGTTTCTCCAGTAAGGCAAATAATATACTAGCCCTCAAGTTTTCTAGGATGATACATTACTCAGTGGTTGGCTGCAGTTCTAAGTAAGAAGAATACAAGTGACAGAGCAAATGGAGAGCCTAATGAAAACAGGCTTAATGGCAGGATAGTCCATTTTATAATTAGTTATTGGAGTTGTTCAAATATTCCCGGAACAACAACAAAAAAATTCTGTACCATTATTCCATTTTAAATCCAAAAAATTTCTGCTAGGAGTTACATCACATTCATTTCCAATCTTTGTAAATAAATATAATTACCTAGACGATTTCCTCGGGGTCATTTAAAAATCCAGCACAGTTTAAAGCTAATATAGTAATATCTCTTTGCGAAGTGCTATAGCTTAATGCCATTTGCAGCATGAGTGCAAAACTAATCACCATCCATGAGTATAACAGAAATAAAATGTCTGACTGCTGTATCCATATAAAACAGATGGAACTTTAATAGTCTCAGATCACTCATTATTCAGTAATTACTGTCAAACTGTTTGGCAAATTGTTCTAGATTATGACTACCCAAAGGCTATAGATATTTTTCTGGATAGAGCAAAGGCTGTCAATGGTATCCAGTCCCAGAGCTCTAGAAGCAGACTTGGTATATATATTCTAATATTGTATAGACTTCAGGGATCACTTCATGCTGCTGGTTTGCTTTAAACTATAAAGTAAGAAAGAGATTTGGCTCTTCTTTCGTATGGTCTTCTCCTCCTCTGATATTGTTGACGATGATGGTGATAATGATTCTCAAGGAGCCTTGATACCCTACTGACAATGGTATATAAAAATCCGAAAGCACTCTATTTACCTGGTTCAAACAGCATCCCTCACTCTTTGCTACTGCACAGGTGGGGAAATGGGAAAAGGGAATTATCCGCATGGAATATCCAGTGTGGCCACGCTATGGATCCTTCCTGCAGCCCATGTCAGATAATCGCCACCTCACAGTGGCTACCCTTGAAGAAAGACCATTTGTGATTGTGGAGAACACAGATCCATCCACTGGAGTATGTGTCCGCAATACAGTCCCTTGCCGGAAACAGACCAACTCCTCTGTCAGGTAAATGAGAGGGAAGAATTCAAAGGATGGCATAGGAGAAAGCAGTACTGGAGCCAACAGAGGGTTGGCTTGCTAAAGGGAGGGGGGGCTGGTTTCCAATGTATATATCTTTGTCCAGAAACCCCAACATGTTTTCTAATGTAAACCAGTTGCATTAATGTTATTCCTAAAACGATTGCTTTCTTCGCTGTCCACCATCATTCATTTGGTATTTTTTTACTTGCCTTCTGTTTCATCATAAAGTGTTTTACAATCTGGTGTCCTTCAGATGGGAACGACAACTCCTCCAGAATTCCAGACCATGGCATCCCTCAGTCCTTTGATTGTGTTGCCTAGGAATTATGGGAGATTTAATCCTACTTATCTGTCATAGAGACAGAGGCATAATCTATTAACTTTATGATTATGATAGTGAAATTTGGGACCCTGATATCCACTTTCTATGATTCACCAAGGGAATCAGATAAACGTTGAAGCAGGTTTAATAATTTAGGTTTAACTCTTTAGGTTAACTGAAACTAAAGGTTATCAGCCAAGTGTCTCCCTCAGTAGCAGAACCTGTTTGTCACTTATGCATTTGTCTGTCCAGTATTGCTGCTGCCTCTATCTTCTTCTTATTGGCATCCTAATAAGATGGAAATGTTTATCCAACTTGGGTGAACATCTGAGAGAAGGTGTCCTTGGAACACATCAATCCTTCACTCTGCTGGATTTTCCCTGAAAAAAGGAATGGTGAAAAAGCCTGAATAGTAGCTGCCGCAAGCTTGGAAAACTTTTCAAATTAAAGGATGAATTCAGAATAGGCAACCCATCTAAAGCATGGGGTGAATGGACCAAGTTTGGCATTCAAGTCAGTAGTACTGGAATGGCTTTCAATTCAGCCTCAGAAAGAGCCCAGAAAGAGCTGCTGTGCAGGCTTTCCTAATGTGCTGCCCATCAAATGTGTCGGATTATAGGTTTCATCCCTCCCAGCCTGCAGGGTCAAAGAATGATTGGCACTGATAATATGATAAAATTTACTTCCTAGTGCCTATTCTGTACCTCTCTGTCTGAAACCATATGAATCCTAATGGAAGCATATAAAGAGCAGGATACCTGAACTGAATTGCTATATTTTAATTGATCGCCTGCTGTTAACTAAATTTGCATAAAATGAACACAAACATGATGGATAATAGGTCATGGATGGAAGAATAGTTGCCATTTGTTTGGAATGCCATTTGTGCACTTCCTAAGGTGATACTAGAGGTAAAAGTTGTTTTGATTGATGAAAATGATTAACAGTCAATGGAGATCTCAATTTTGAAACATTTAACAGGGAAAATTACTCATGTGTGCCACAGTCAAAATGGTAGTTAGCTGCAAACTGTTCCTACTCTTACCAGCCTTTTTTCCCCTTTTGGCACGATCTAGGGCCTTTAAAGTTGTAAGTAAGAAGGAAATACAAAATAAACAAAGTTTTCCCATTGCTATATCTGCATGTTAGGGCTATTGTCCTTTCTTGGTTTCACGTTCAACGTATTTTACACCAGATACCATGATCCCCTTTGAGAGTACTTCACATAACCATGTTTTTTAAGGGCATATTGGTTTTAGATAATGAGATTGAAGTTAACAAACAGTTTTGAAATCTAGAGGTCATCTATTATTTTGTTTCATATACTATATTCATTGTCAAATGAAAAGCTAAATTTCAATTATAGGTTATGAAAATGAAGGATTTTTTTTCCCCATCCCAGTTCATGGACCCCGTGAAATTTATTCATGGATTCCCCACGAGTCTGTAGACCCCAGGCTAAGAATCCTTGTTTCATATTAATAAAAGTAGCTGTAATTTTGTAGTGATGTTTGAAAATAAAACATTGATAGTCTTAGATGAACAGAAAATGCTGTTTCCTCTGAAACATGAGTAATCTTCATGACCGAAATCAAGTCAAGATTGAGTGGTGGTGCAAAACAAGTATGGCTATCTTATGTATGTAGGGGAATAACAGATTGCTCTTTTTGTCCCCAAGTTTTAAGAGAAAAGCTTGGGAGTAGTAGCAATTTTAATTTGCAATTAAATTTGCAATTTAAAATGTATTTCTCCTATTTTGACCACTATTTCCTGAAAGAGTAAGAGAAACCATGCTATTTTGTGGTTGTGCCATCAGAATTCTGCAGTGAAATTCAGATTCTCAGGATTGCAAAACTGAGATTCTCTAGCTGTGATTTAAAATATCAAGGAGTTTGAAGGTAGATTTTCTTGGTTAGTGTTGAACAGAACCAGGAATAGGTTCATGTTTCTGCTTCAAACTGAGCAATGAATAATCAGTCATAATTCCTGGAAGCAGTGGTGGGATTCAGCCAGTTCACACCACTTCAGCAGAACCGGTAGCTAATTTTTTGTTGCCCAGGCCCAGAAAGGACTTTCGGAAGCGGCATCCACACAGAGAACCGGTTGTTCACATATTTGAATCCCACCACTGCCTGGAAGCAAATAGTACATAACTTGGTTTGCAGATTAAGGGCTATGGCTGGTCAAAGGAAGTAAGTGGCTGGCGTTAGCAATCAATCTGCATTCATACATGTTGGGACCCAGAGATTGAGCTTTTTAATAATTTGCCTGTTACTGACCTATAATTAAGATTGTGTCATCAATGTTCCTGCCCAGTGAAGAAAGTTACTTTCTTCCCCTAATAAATTTAAACTGAAAACTAATAGAACTTTCTGGCTTCATTCTTCAAAGATTCTCTTTAATGTTTCTGATGGTATAATGTTTTGTGTCATTCTGTATGTTCCAGCTTTAACTGACATCATGAACAGGCTTATAATTATTTTCCTTCTGCTTAGAATCTAGTTTCTAATAAAGTAGAAACTAGTAATTTATCTTTGTTATGACATAACCACAGCCAGGATAGCTAAAATAAGTCTGTTTCCCACAAGAAGCTATTTACTTTTTATAGTTAATTTCAGCATCTTATAGTAAAAATAATATTCCAAATTTATCTGGACCCTTATTCCATTTATAATTTCTTCATCCCATGTGCTGAAATCTGTGGGAAACTGCTGTCCTGCAGTCTCCCCTTGAGAAGCAGCCATCTGGAGCACAGGTGGGTGATCTCTCATCCTCTCCTTATCTGGAGAGGTTCCAAGGAATCAGTCTACTCACCAGTTCCTTGGTCTTTACCGCGCTCGTTGGTTCTGTTTTCACGAAGTTTACCATAACTCCCTCAGAAGTCTGCAAAATGGCCCGTTATCCATAGCAAAAATAAACATGAGAATGGGAAGGGGAGGCTTCTTTCTTCCAATTAGGAAGTAAATTTGAAGACAATCCATACAACAGTACTAAAAATATGAAAACAAACAGTATTCAAAGCCTCCTTGTAAGGAGGAAGTTGTGAGTGCTTCCTGTTTAAGGAGATTTATTTGCCCGGTAAATTTTCCCACCCCTGCAGGAGCTCCAACTTTTTCTCTTTCCTATGATCTCTTCTCCTGTTGCTGGACAGTGTGCTAAATATTATATGATTTCTCCCAGTCCTATTGATAAATATCTTGGATACTTCTGTTGTTTACCTGCTGGGCGACACAGGATTCTAGAGTCAATGGCCTGACCCATCAAGGTCCTCCTTATGTTCTTTCCTTTCCTCTTGGGTTCATAAGCTGTCACAGATGTTATTAAGAATTGTCTTGATGATAAAGATAGCATATCATCTCCTTAAGAGTTTATTGTAAAATAATAATTTGCAAAATTAACATCTTTTCCCCACCCTAAATTGGATTGCTTGGGGAAAACAAAAAATGGATGATTGTGTAAAAGGACTAGTGAGCTTGGTTCTGGTACCAACCCAAAATTCTCAGAAGCATCCTGATTCTGAATTTTTGGTAAATTCTTGCTCTTATGAGCCATTGTTTGCCACTTTGCTCCAAATGGTGAATTTTAGGATTTTTGTTGTTTGATTTAATTAAAGTGAGCTTCTTTGAAGGCATACTGAACTTCTTTGAATGAAGGAATGGATTGTAAAGATATCAGAGCTAGCTGAGGAGATTTTTGCAATACCAAGAAGGAGAAGAAATAATGAGTATGTTTATAATTATTGAAGTTGAAAGTCAAAAGTAGCATGTTTTTTTCTTGTTTCTTTAACAAATTTCTTTCTTATTCTGCTTTGCTTTTGCACTTATTTTTCTTTCTCTTTATTTCTTTCTCCTTTTTCTTCATATTTTTCTTCATATTTGCTTTTATTTATGTAAAAATTCTTAAAAATATATTATGATGGGTTGCACAATCAGCCAGATGTTCAGATTGGATTTGGTATTTTTATTCATTCATCCACTGTCTGTCTGTCTGTCTGTCTGTCTGTCTGTCTGTCTGTCTATCTATCTATCTATCTATCTATCTATCTATCTATCTATCTATCTACCTACACACACACACACACACACACACACACACACACACACAATCCCCGAAGACCACCCATCCCTGGCTTAGAGAGTAATAATAGAAAAAGTACATGTTGACAGCTGGACTGTGTGTGAGCATTTGTATGTAGGCATCCCTGCCTTCTATAATGGCCCTCACACCAAGGAGATGCTCCAGAAAGTAACAAATGTGGAACATTAGCCATTCTAGGCACTGATGAAGTTACACAGCTCATTTACAATGTGTCATATCCTGTGATGGCATGCCCATTATTCAGGGCCATGCTAAGCTGGCAAGCTGATTATTTATGACTGTGTTTTTCTAAAGACAACAGGACTATAAATAGCAATAAGGATACAAGACTGCCACATCCTAGTAATGGTTTAGTTATTTTTATTTTGGAACAGAGGAATTGGGCTAGTGACTATAATGTGGCTCTGAGGAAACATGCCAGGGCCTAGTGATTTAGGTTCAGGATGTCTCAAATGTACAATTGCTCAATTGATTTGAGCAATTGTACATAGTCCTGGCATGATTTGCTTGGAGGACACAGGTTGATTGTTGAGTGCCTTCTCATCTTTTTTCCAGTGGGAATGAACCTATGGACCCATATACCAAACTTTGCTGCAAAGGTTTTTGCATTGACATCCTAAAGAAACTAGCCAAGACTGTGAAGTTCTCCTATGATCTCTACCTGGTGACAAATGGAAAACATGGTAAAATAGTGGATGGTTTATGGAATGGCATGATTGGTGAGGTAAGGAATTAGGTATCTAAAAGTCACATTGTTTGGATTTTAACCACCTACACGGGGGTGGCGAACCTATGGCACGCATGCCAGAGGCGGCACTCAGAGCCCTCTCTGTGGGCACGCGCAGCCCCACCTCCCCCCATGGCCCCCTCTTCACCAGCAGCCCTCCCCGGAGGAGAGTTGCCCCCGAGCATGGCCATGTGGAGCAGTGCAGCCAAGGACATGGCAGCCGGGCAGCAGGGACATGACTCCACCCTCATGCCCTGTCACGGGCAGTTGATGCTGTGGGGCGCAGGTGGAAGGCGTGGCTGCCATAGCACTGCTGGGCCACCTGGGTGATCTGTGGCAAGCCATAGAGGCAGTGGGTGGCCCTGCGGGCGTGGGCAAGGGTGGGGATGGCGGGGAGGGGCTGGTTTTGGGGCACTCTAAAAAGTTCGCCATCACTGACCTACATCTACAGGTTTGGTGCACTGGTATTTGTCAGAAGTTCTCCGGGTAGAGAAAATGAAATCAGACATGCAACTCTGGTTCTCTTCTAAAGTTATACAATCCTTCTGAACTGTAACACGTGTCTAAAGGCTGACTTAGCTTAGACCAAAGGCAATGAAAATTCTATAACTCCAAACACATATATTTATCCTTCCTGCATCCCTCAACTAGAAAGAACACCCACCACTCACTAGTCACCAGCATTGTCTGTGGGCTTCAGCCTGAAGAGATGGCAGCCTTAAGAAAATGGCTTTACAAATAGGGAGTTAGTCTATTTCTTGGGCAATCTGTGGAATGTGAAATGGAGCTAGAATCTTATTCTCAGGTTGGCATTGGGATATGCTAACCTGGGAGTGAAGTCTCTTGTCTTTGGATAGTCATGTGTAAAATGCATACCTTCCATTACATGCAACTAACACTAAGTCTGCTGCGTGTGGTTAGGCCATCCTTTGAATAAGATGACAGGCTGTTGAGTGTCAAGAGCCCTACCTCTTGGTGCTGATTGGGATATTTAGACTGACTCCTAATCTGGCAGCCTGCTTTAGGATTTCTCACCTAGGTGTGCTGCCTGAAAAGAAATAGAAAAATTGAGACGTTACACTTCAGGGTTCTCCTCCTGTTTTGTGTTAGCCCCAGAAGAATAGCAATAGCACTTAACTTATATACCCCTTCACAGTGCTTTACAGCCTTCTCTAAATGGTTTACAGAGTCAGCCTATTGTCCCCAACAATCAGGGTCCTCATTTTACTGACCTCAGAAGGATGGAAGAATGAATCAACCTTGAGCCAGTGAGAATCGAACTGCCAAACTGCTGGCAGCTGGCAGTCAGCAGAATTAGCCTGCAGTACTGCATTCTAACCACTACGCCACCACGGCTCTAAACTCTAAATCCTTCTGAACTGGATGTCCATTCAGAAGCATTTCAAGAACTATATAGCAGTGATGGCAAACCTTTTAGAGACTGAGTGCCCAAAAACTGGCCCTGCGCCCGCTCCACCCCCTGCCTTGCCCCTGCTCTGCCCTCACCCTGTCCTCCGCCCTGCCTGCCCGCAGGGCCACTCACCACCTCTAGGGGCCACCACAGATCGCCCAGGCAGCCCAGCAGCACCATGGTGGCCACGCCCTCTGCCCGCACTTCACAGCACCAACTGTGCACGATGGAGCATGAGGGCAGAGACTTGGGCACACTGCCTGGCTGCCATGTCCTTGGCTGCGCTGCTCCGTGTGGGCCATGCTTGGGGGCAACTCTCCTCCAGGGGGGCTGCTGGTGAGGAGGGGGTCACGGGGAGGTGAGGCTGGGGAACAGCAAATGTGCCCACAGAGAGGGCTCCAAGTGCCACCTCTGGCATGCGTGCCATAGGTTCGCCACCACTGCTATATAGTATCTGTAAGAGAAAAAGGGCAGAGTTGTGAAAGAATCAAGCGTCCCACTATTTCTGGCCAAATCTATTCCTTGCTTGTGTCTCTACTGAGAGGACATCAGTGGCAATCTTGACACGCAGAGGGGAAAATGGGGTTAGGAGAGCCATATATAGTGGGAAAATGTTTCTTGATAGTGCACGAACACATTTTAAGGGCTGGATTCATCCAGGTGCAGAAATTTTCAATCAAGAAAACTCTCTTCTTAAGTACACTTGATCTGAAGTACTGGTAGTATCATAGTATCTGTAGGGTTGCCATGCAAAGAGGTCCCTTCAAAGTACAACCTTTTTTTCCCCTTGAAAATAAGTCCCACCGAGTTCTGTGAGGCTTATTCTCAAGTAAGCCTGCATAGACACAAAGGCTTATTTTCAACAGGGGGCAGCACCTGGCCAATTTTGTCTGTGCTTGGAAGTTAAGCAAGACTGGGCCTGATTAGAGTTTGAACTGGGAGACCTCCAAAGAAAAACAGGGCTGTGGGCTACATTGGAAAGTTTTAAAAAAGAAGTTGTGAAAGAAAACAACAGGAAACCATTTGTTTATTTAACAGAATTGTATGGCTGCTCCTCTTGAAATACAACTCTTCATGGTTCCAACATAACCAAACCATGTCCATCCTGTTTCCAAAAAACCATATGGATGTATGTATTCTCAAAGTCACCAGGAGTCAAAATTGACATCAGATCATATTTACCTTTCATTCTTTAATTTGCTGAGGAATGCAAAATGAAAGCAAGCAGAAATTTATTGGTATCTATATTTGGTGCTGGTTCTGTTGAATGACATATTATTCATGTCCTCTCTTTCTGTTCTTTCACCTTCCAGGTATATTACAACCGAGCAGATATGGCCATCGGGTCTCTCACCATCAATGAGGAACGCTCCCAAATTATTGATTTTTCTGTACCTTTTGTGGAGACAGGCATTAGTGTCATGGTAGCCAGAAGCAATGGGACTGTCTCACCCTCTGCCTTTCTAGGTGAGAACAAACAAATATATGCCATCAATATTTTTTTAAAAAGTGAAATTTGCAACAGAATATGGCCTTATTGAATGCTTCTGTGTTAGTTGGTTATGGATGGTCATTTATGTCCTTTTCACCTCATTTCTTGACTATTGTAATTAATTCTACATGGGCTGCACTTGAAGGTCACTTAGAATCTACAGCTGGTTCAAAATGTGGCAGCTCATGTGGCCATGGGCTGTCTCCATGTTACCCATGTGTGTGGCAGGAGTTTAAGGGTTACCGGTTGATTTCTGGATGCAATTCAAAGATAATTATTACCTTTAAAACTTATAGTTTTGGGCCTGAGTATCTTATGAGGCTGCCTACTCCAATTGTTTTCTGTCCATCCAATGAGAATTAGTAGAGGTGTCTCCCCTAAGAATGTCAGTGATAGGCTGGTGTCACCCTTTCTCTGGAACAGTTTACTCAGAATATGGTCCCATCCCTGTTGTATTTCAGAGACCTGGCTCTTTTGTAAAGCATTTGAGGATATCATAGATATTTGAGTTGCTTCTAAGGGTGAACGAGGATGCCAGTTCTTGGCTTTTGTTTGACTGTTGTTTAATATTAATTTTTAATTTTATGTTTGTAGTTTAACATTATTTTGTTGGGGAACGGTTAACTACTCAAAGTCTCAGGATAGGAGTTGCCTATAATTTCAAGCAAAGTAAAAAGAAGAAGAAAGTAAATAATTTATGCTCTATACATTGATACTCTGTGTCTGTTTTCTATCCTCGCTTTCCTTTACTGAGCATTTTCAGTCCCCATTGGACTATTTTGAGATTTTTAAATCACTTTTACACAGGCATTTCTAAGTAATTTGGGTGACCTGCATAGTTTATGCTTTGATTGCTTAAAGAACATCACTCACACCTGGCAATAAAAAAAAGGGAGGAAATGATTTCCTGATGTAAATTTGCATGAGGTGAAGACTTGCAATATCAACATACAGTTGGATGTTTAATATTCTCTAGTTTAAATTTTCAGTGTGAAAATTGTGATTTGGGGAATAGAAATCTTTTCTAAAACACTATCTTTGAATAGGCCATACTTTGGGCATTAATGTTTAAATAATATAACAATATTCAATTTTTTGCCATCATATTTGCTGTTATTGCTTCTAAGCCATTCTTTACTTGCTTCATAAAGTATTAATATAGGATATCTGGGGACTAGGAATTTGCATAATGAATGTGATATCAAATGCTGCATACCTAATGAGATTTGGCTACTTTAATTATGGTCATTGGAAGAAAATAAAAGTTATTGAATATAAAGGCACTTTTTCTTGTACGTAATCAGGTATCATACAGCAAAGAGCATGACAGGCAACGCAGCATAGCCCAACCTTTGATTGTGTGCAGATATCGGTAAATGACTTTAACTGAGAACAAGAAGAACAGTATCAATGAAATGAACACAGTGTCAGATATTTTTTAAAAAGTGTTTTGAACCATTGCTAATACTAATTACACCCAAAAGTATAGTCTGTCTAAATCCAGCCAAACAGAAGATGTTCTGAACATTCTTGAAATGCACAACATCCAATCCTTTGCATTAGAGAATTGGGCAAGCGTTACAAATTAATATTTTGAGCTGACGATTACAAATACGGAAAAATCAGTTAACAGAACAAAGCATACTATTGAAAGGCAGAGCCAAAGTGATGCCCTGCCTCACAAGGTATTTTCTGCCACTTTCTTGTTCAATTTGGTTTATAGGAAACCAATAAGGTCCATAATTCCATTATTGTTGTCACAAGGTTCCTTCTTCTAAACCAGGGGTAGGCAACCTTGGCTCTTTTATGACTGGTGGACTTCAACTCCCAGAATTCTGGGAGTTGAAGTCCACGAGTCATAAAAGAGCCAAGGTTGCCTACCCCTGTTCTAGACTGTTGTTTGAATGTCCATCAACTCTTCTGATAGGTCTTCCTTGTGACTGAATGTTTGGAAACAAGATGATCTTGACTGTTTACTCTAGTTGGCTGGTATTTAACAAATGCGTCTGTTCAATCTCTAGGCACAAAGTCATGGATCTGGATGAGGAATTAGTTATTGGCTCAGCATATCTATTTGCATTGGCAGGTGATAAAAAGGGGGGGGGGTCATTTTCATTACTGCTGAAAGCAACAGCTTCCTGGAACAGAATGGGATAAGCAAGCTTACTGACATCCTGAGAAACATTATCTTTTGTGGTATATTGGGCAGGGTTGGTGTTTGGAAAAAAAAGTGTAGAGAACCCTGGCATTAGTGTATCCATTACTTCTCCTGTTCCGAGAACAGAAGAATAGACAACTAAGCTACCTGCTGACCATTATTACTGTCACTATTGCAAATGGGTTAACCAAGCAGCCTTTCTGTCTCTCAATATTTTCTGGAGTATTTCTGGGTGTAGTATCTTTTCTCTCTGGAAAACAACTTGTTGTATTCTGCCAACATGGAGGTTAAATGCCTGTCTGCATCTGTCCATGTTTTTCTGGAGGCTCTTCCTTGAATGTGTCATGATGCAGGCCTTTGCTGTGATCTTCTTTTTATCTGAATATCTCTTCCCCTCGTCAGAAACTCCAGGTTCATCAATGCCAAACAAAATTGCCCTCAGTTTTAGGTCATCGAGTCACATTTCTAACTGGGACTGTTGGCCTTGGGCTGAATAGGACTGAAGATGGTTTCCCCAGCTCTCTGTTCAGCTGTCTAAATGGCATCTCTCTTGTCAGGCTGTCTGACTCTAGTCACCAGAACAAGGAACTGGCTCTGTCAATCAGAGCTGGGATCGGCAGGTTTTTGTTTTTGGAACAGGAATCAATGAGGTGGTCTGGAACAAAAGCCGGATGGATGACACCAGGTCCCTGGTTGCTGTCATCACCCTCTGAAATCTTGCCAATGCTACAAGAAAAAGGCTTGGGGGAGAGGGGGAGGCAGGAAAGGGAAAGGACAAGATATAGATCTTTCTCTGCCCGGGTGTGTTTGGCATCTTCTTTGTTTCTAAAAGTATCTCTTCACTTCTTCATCTTAATGGTTATTCTTGCTGTTTTGCTCCCTCTCATTTTTTGATTCTTCAGCCTAAAATAGAACCACGAGTAACCCATTCTTCTTCAAGAGACAACTGAGACTAACACGGAGGAGTTAGCCTCTCTTGGATGGCAAAATTAAAAATAAAATAAAAGTTGAAGTTTGCCTTCCAGCCAGAAGAGGTGGGGCTAATATTATCCTGTTGGTTCTGTCCTTGGGTGTTGAGAATGAGCACATATTTTTTTTCTAGAAGGGTTGTGTTAAGTACTAAGAATTCTTGAATTCCTGAGAGGTGAACCAAAGCCACCTTCAAAGTCTTTGATCAGTCTATAGATGAGGTCCTAGTTAGCCTATATTCTAGTTAAGAATGTTTACAGTATAGCTAAGTGGATAATGAGTTTCTTAAAAAGCCACTAAAGATTGTTTTTATAACTGTTGACGTATGCATGAAACTGAAGCAGGTTAGGTGCTAAGCAACTTATTTTGTACGTCTGGCTTCACAGGCCTAGTCTCTCTTCATCATCTGTTATTTTTCCGGTGCCTTGATATGTAAATTTTAGCAAGGTACATATTTTACGTTTCTTGCCTTCATCCTAATTTGCCAAAGGATTTTACAAAGCTAAGATTCAGTCATTTCCATCACTGATTTTATGAATTATTTAATGCTTCTTGGAGAAAAGATAAAAATTTATTGCTCTGATTATTCATTCTGACTGATCATTTTGCTCCACCGTATTTGTGTGGCTGAACCTGATGTCAGCTCTCAAATATATCAGTCACCTTCTGGATTCTTAAGAGTAGTTTGGAAAGGGCATGAAATGAAAACTAGGGCAAGTTTTAAACTAGGAAGTCATATCATCTGGATTGGAAAAAGTTCTATAGATAGAAAAAAAATTAAAGCAAGATTTGTTTTTCTCATGCTTGTTAGCATTCCCTCAGGCAAAATCTTTGTTTGGTGTTGATCATCCAATTCTACTTAATGGCCTCAGTTTACCGTGTTGTATATCAATATATTTTTTATTTCAGTGTTTCTTTTTGTTTGGGGTTTATTCTCCCTCCCTCGAGAGAGAGAAAAAGTTAAAAGCCTGAAATAATGTACTTGTTATATATTAACTGGAACATATGACAATGTCAGTGACTTTTATTGGATAACTCTAGAGACGGAATCCTTTTCTTTTTCAAAGAGACTGGTGGTTAACAGCCCAGAATGGCTCAGTTTATGGGAGCTATTTGTTTGACCATTGCCTGATATAACATCTCATTGGAAAGTTGTGACTGGGAGAGTTGGTAGAATGTGAATAAGGCACATCGCTTTCCCTATAGCAGGTCTGAGAAATAGATGGAAGCTAGTTGTGCCATGGTTAAGATGCTGCACTCATCGACTGGAAGGTTGGCAATTTGAGATCCTAGTATCGTGTGACGGGGTGAGCTTCTGTTCTTGCCTTAGCTCCTGACAACCTAGCAGTTTGAAAATATGCCAGTGAAAGTAGATAAATAGGTACTCTTTGGTGAGAAATTAACAGCATTCCATGCACCTCAGCGTATTGTCACGCCAGCCACATGACCACAGAAGCATCACCGGCTCCCTTGGCTAGGAAACAGAGATGAACACCGCCCTCTAGAGTTGGAAATGACTGGACAGGGGAATCTTTTAGCTTCAGTTGTGTCCTGCAACCATTATTGTTAACATTCACAAGCCATAGTTAATGTTCACCATGGTTTAGCAATGCAGCAAATGAAATGCTGTGATATATTTACTTCAAGGCCTACTTCTGTCGTAGCTCAACCTCAGGGCCTATGACCCTGATCTCATCTGATAGCTTCTTGATTGATAATCTGGCTTCTGAACTGAACAGGGTCTCTGGTTTATTGGATGTTGCAGAAAAAAGGGCTTCCTGTGGAGTCCTTGATGCTCTTTGAGCTTAGTAGTTTGCTTGCAGCTATTTCATCTCCTGAGTAAGTAAC